TGGAGGAGAAGGGATTGTGGTGTGACCAGCCCCCCTGGGGGGTGATTTCTCGCTTTCTGTCTCTATGTCTCTCTCTGTCTGGTGAACGCACGCGCCCTATAGCGAAAATCTCTCAAAAAAAAAAAAAGTTAAAAGTGTAAGCCTGAAGAGGGGGGGAGAGCAGCAGGTGGCATGGTGGTTGAGGGCACTGAACTCCCACATGGCTGACTGCAGTTTGAGTCCTGAACCTGGCAGCTTTAATTTCTCACTTTCCCTCCCTCCCTCTCTCTCTCTCTCTCTCACTCTGTCCCTCTCTGATCAAATTAAAAATAAATAAATAAATAAATAAATAAAGCTAAATAAAATAATTATTAAAAAAAATGTCTAGGCTATGAGATCAGCAGATGGCGTAACAATTATGTCACTGGACTCCCATTTAGTCTACCACAGTTCGAGTCCCAGACCTGGCAGTTTAAAACTCATGCTGGGTGCGTGTGCATGCATACCCCAAATCCCAGGAGGAGAATGGAAGAGAAGGGATTGCAGCATGGCCATTACCGTGGGGAATGATTTCTCACTTTCTGTTTCTGTCTTTTCAGCAAGCTCACATGGCCTATAGCAAAAATCTCTCTCTAAAAAAATGGCTAGGCTAAACTTAAATCTGTATTCTGGGAAAAAGAGGTGGGGAGGGGGAGAGGAAGTGGAATAGGGATGAAGAATAACAACTTATAACTTATTCCTTGTAATAGCACTTGTATTCTTGAAGCATGAATTTACCTCTATTTATAATCATTTTTCCATTATAAGCTATTCCAGATTGATATGTTACTTCAAATGTGCCACAGTCTTTTCAGTTTTTTATTAACTGTGTTAATGCAATAATAATGCACAGTGTCATGGAATCTTATAGTCACAAAGCAGCTTCATAAACTTTATCAGTTGTCTTAATTTATTCAGTAGGAAATTACAGGTGATTTTTACATTTGTAGACAACTGTTAATTCATGATTTTCTCTAATTTATTCGGTAGAAAATTACAGGTGATTTTTATATTTGTAGACAACTGTTAATTCATGATTTTCTTGACTTCCCTCATTAATTAGTGTCAGGTTTCAAAACCAAACCAGATATACTTGTTTTATATTTCTAATTTATGCAAAGATGTGAAAATTTGAGATAATGATAGCAGAAGTAAGAAACTAGAAATAAGAAGTAGTCATGCACCTACCTCGGACAGTGTTTATTATGTACAGCAGTTTCTGTTGAAGACACCTCTTTCATTTGGAATAAAATTCATTTTCCTCCCAGCCTGGCATGTTTGTGTCCAAGAATACAGAACAAGAATTCTATCATTCGCACTGAGTCTTACCTGCAACTTGAACTTCCTAGAGATCAGAGTGGGCTCCTTGTCTGTGTTGTCACCATGAGTGACAGGTCAGCGTTGTGCACCACAGTAGATCAATTCATAGTACAAAAATCAGTACTTCTTCCTTACCTGGTTGAGTAAAATCAAGGTGATGATCTCAAATAACTTAATTTCATCCTTCAGGGGCAAGTCATCCTTGAGCCTTCTATGACTTCAGAGGCATAGATTGTGTTGATAACCATTGTATTGCTACACACCACTTTTACGCCACTTTTGTCTGCATCCGATCATTTTAAAATATGGGTCATATGTGTATTTTTCTCAATGATAGAGAGCACATGCGTGAAAAAGAGAGAAGAGAGAAAAGAATCTGCATTCGGGTCTTGCCATACCACAATTTCCTTTCCTCAGCCCTATGGTTGAGGGGGCTGTATTCTCAAGATGACTCAGGATCTGAATCTATGGTTGGCCACATGACTCACGGTTTTTAGGGCACTTGTGTTACTGCTGCACCACAGGGGCGGGGCATCATGCATGTATTTAAAAAATAAGAAACATAGGAGGGAGGGAATTATTCCCAATGAACAAGGATAAAGGATATATCTTCCTTGAGTTTTAAAATAGTCATGAATCCTAGAAGCCCACTATTCATCTGGGACTCCAGATATATGGTTGTCTAGTCATTTTTCTGAAGCGAGTCTTGCTGGTCAATTATTACTCCTCTCACAGCGTTCAGTTTGAACCTTTACCAACAAAGACTAAGCATTTCAAGGCCAATAAGCAAGGGCTAGCTGGTGACCTAATGGTTGAAGCGTCTGGTCCCCACATGGCTGACTGCATGGCTGGAGTTCAAGTTCCAGATCCAATGGCTTGGGAAGCACAGATACATATAACACCATGCCCAAAATCCCAAGAGGAGAATGGATTGCCATACTCCCCCCTCCCCCTGCCCGGGGGCAGAAGAGTGCTTTCTCACTTTCTCTGTCTCTCCCTGGTGAGTGTGCATGCCCTATAAACAAATATTAAAAATAAATAAACGAAGTCAATAAACAAGCATTTACAAGAGTCAGTGCCATTCTGTTTACTAGCTGAACCAGAAACCTCTTAGCATTTCTGTAGCAGGTGGCACTTTTTTTTTTTGAAGGTTTTTGCCACACATGTGCTCACTGGAGAGAGAAAGAGACAGTGAGAGGGAAAGTGAGAAATCCCCCCCAGCAGGATGACCACACTACAATCCCTTCTCCTTCATTCTCCTCCTGGGATTTTGGGCACTCTAGCTCATGCGTCTGGTGATTTTCAAGCCACTAGGCCTGGGACCCAAGTGACAGTTGGCCATGCATGAGTCCAGCACCTTAGCCACTATACAACCTTCTGGCCCCCAGGTAGCACATTTTAGCAATACAGATTGTACCAACCTTTCTGAAGGCCAATATTAAATATTTAAATATATGTACTATTTGACCATGGTGTTGCACTTTAAGAAATATATTAAATATAAATAATTCAACACAGACACTAAACTTACATACAAAAATGTCCATATTATTGTGTATCAAAATGAATATTGGGAAAACTAAATGTCCTTCGGTGAAAAAAATTGGTGATACCTTCATGTATTGGAATATATTATAGCCACTGAAGATAATAAAATCTATTTCTCTCTACAGACAGTGTATGTGTGTGTATTTTCATGATACACACGTCTTCAGGATATATATGGTTACATATATTATAAGGCCATTTTTTTCTCAATATATGAAGTCATTTAAAAATATATTTTATATGATGTGTAAGAGAGTATGATATAGAAAACGCTTTTAAGAAATACGCAAAAATATTAGTAGCAGTTATACCTGGTAATTAGGACTAAAGGTGAATTTATCCTTCTACATTGTATGTCATATATTTTTCTGTAGGCACACCCATATATTTCATAGTTTTAGAAGGCTATTCTCAGCCAGCCCTGTAGCTCAGCTGTTAAGTGCTGTGCATAGGGAGCTGTCTCCCACATGGTCAACTGAGGTGTGAATCCCTTGAAAGCACGCTGGGCCTTCGTGTGTGAGGGTCCCAGAGGGACGGAGAAATGGAGGGAAATGGGTTGCAGCATGACTACCTTCTACTAGGAAGTGCTTTCTCTCTTTCTTTCTCTCTGGCAAGTACATGTGACCTCTGGCAATTACAAAAATGCTTGTAAAAAACTAAACGTTTTTTTAAAGGCTATTTTTCACTCTGAGGGAAAAATAGCTCTTAACTACAAAAACAAAACAAAACAAAAACAAAACAAAACAACTTCTTGTCTTAACAGGATTTTGTTTTCCTCAAAGGAAACTACTCACATGAGGAAAATATTCTATGTACAAAATACAGTAAATTTTATGTACAAAGAACGATTAAGGAATGAGGTGTTACAGTTAACTAAGAGCAACTATACAGACTCTGTGTGGGTACAGGGCAAGTACACATCAAAAGGAACACTACAAAGTAGCTTTCATTCAAACTTTTAAGACTCTCTATTTTTAATGACTGGACTAAAAATAGGCATCTCTCAATGCAGAATAGCAGTCACCAGCCAGCATTGCTTGGTTGTAAACATACCCAATTTCTCCTCCCTCCTCTCACCCACAGACTCTCTTGTATACAGAGACGCCTTGAAAGACTCTGACCAATGGTATTCACGTGGGTTTCACAAAGTTGCTGACCCAGCTTCTCAACTGAAAAGAGAGAGATTGAAGTCCCTCTCCTCCAGCTGTGTAATCCTGAAGCAATGCATAAAACTTAAAACTTCTTTAGAAGAAGGATTCTATGGAGAAAAAAAAGGAGGGAGGGCACTGTGAGATGACCCCTCCCTTTGCAAATGGGGAAACTGAGGCCTGCAAATTAAATTACTTGTTCATCAGAATGGAAATGCCAGAATCAGAATGTAGTCCTCAAGACTTGCTCTGTCAGTCACTGTTTGCACAACACCATCCCAGCTACTCACAAGACAGAATCCCTATAGGATACACAAAAGATTAGACCCAGTGAAAGAGGAGCACCCTTGTCCTAAGTCTGGAATATGCATTTTTTTTTAACTGAGTAAGTGTGATAATGTTTCAAAGTCTTAAGGTTCTCAGAGAAGGCAGCAAATCAAAGTATAAAAGTCTTTAAAATATCTAATGCAAGACCTCTGAACAGCCATTGTGTAAAATGTCACCAGAGATTTTCATCTTAGTATTTAGTAGTTGGCAGTGGATGACTCAGTGCCATGGAATTTAATTTTCAATTGTTTTCAAATAAATTCACAGGACCCAATAGCGCAAAACATTGGAAGGTGACTAGGAGACTTTGGAGATTTGGCAGTCTTTAAAGCCATATATCAAAAATTACCTCTGATAGTTACAGGGATTTATCGTGTTCTCTACTCCCAATTGTTTCTAAAATTCAACCATGCTTCCCTGTGCAAGAAAATCAAGTTTCGAATTCTTGCTATCTTTGCCTGCCTGGGACCTCAAAGTACCAAGCCCTATAAGCCTAGAACTGCTCAAACATTCCTTTCTGGGGCTATCATTAAATCCTGTTTTCTGGATGGAGATACTGAGGGTGCAACCATTGGTCAAGGTCACCCAGTGAGTCAGTGGCAAAGCTGGGAATACAACCCAGACTTTCTGACTCCCTTGCCCATCCCCTGACCATCAAACCACATGCTCCTGACCGGGACGGAATAAGCTGGTCTTCTCAGCATTCAGATGAGCTGAGCAAAGAACTCTGCAACTGATCCAAATCCTTTTCAAACATGCAGATGCCGTTTATTTCATCTAAGAGGTAAGTCATTCCATATTATTCTTCACTCTAAAAAACTTATTTTGTGTTAATTTATCAAGGAAATGCTAGTGTAACTTGGAGGACTTTTTTTTCCTGTCGTATCACATTGCGTAACACTGGCAGTGTGGCCTTTGAAAACCCACAGAGGCTGCTTCCTTTGGTCTGCCGATGGCAGGTTCTTCTGCCAGCTCCTACATGTGGCCTTCCTTGTACGGGGGTCGGGCGTCCAGTGGTTTCTGGCAAAGGAACATTCCATGGACAAGCCAGGCCTTGACGTGGCTGTTCCTTTTTCTGCTCTTTTGAATGGTCCTTGACCACAAGAGAATCTAGTTCTCCTGCCAGCTATACCTCACATGTCACTGGAAATGTAGTCAGTGGTGACGACTCAGTAGAACGCCAACCAGAGACCAGAGCCACTTTATTAGGAACAAGGGAAAAGCAGTACAATCAGGGCTTGCCACTGAGTACCATCTTCTGCCAACTACCAAATGTGGGGAGAAAGGTTTCAATGATCCAAGTAGCAGAGCAGGCCCATGGGTAACTGTTCTCACAGTGCAGAAGGTTGTTTCTCAGCATTTTATACCTATCATGTTTGAGCATAAATATTTCTTCCTCAAAATGAGCTAAATTGCTTATTCTCAAAGGCCTTTAGTCATTTGGAGGACAACTTTGCAAGCTTTGAGATGGGGGTTTTGAGCAACGAGGTCCATCAACTCTCCTATTGGCAGTCGGTCATCACGTTCAGCAGCTTTGCTCCCAGCTGTCAGCAGAAGCTCAGAACAACAGAGGAAAGGAATCAGAGAGAAGAAAGGAAAGTGTGTCGTTATTGTGCTGCCAGAGCTCCTCCTGTGCTGTTCTTCAGTCCACTTAGTCCATGCTAGGCAGGCCTTGGTTAGGTGAGATTCCCCAAAGTCATCTCAAATTTTAGAACTGCCTCCCAGAGAAGTGCCACTGGGCTGTGCCCAACGCGTGTCCTCTCCCTGCAGGGAACTCTGAGGGCTAAGTCCATTCCACTAACATTTCAGAATAAAGTCCCCAGTGACACAGAGGGTGGCCCCAAATCAGTTTTCCTACAGTTCTTAAAATCGCAAACACTTAAAAGCTGGTCCTGCTTGTCTTCCCCATCATACTCAGCTTCAAATGCACTGTATTATTCCATTCTGCAGCTCTTTCTGCCTGCATAAGCCATCAAGTACTGTGTTCCCACGAGAAGAAATAAGTTTGCTTAATGTGACAGCTCTGGATGTACTCCAGGGAGAGTGACAACATAATTTTGTTTACTATTCACTCCAAGTTCTAAAGAAGTAAACTTCATTAACTTTTCTGATAAAGCACAAAGACCCTATTATTTGCCTTACCCATAAAATTAAAAACAAAAACACTTTGATGTCCCCAAGAAAGCAGGGCTTTTTTCTGAAGTTTCTGTTGCTCTAACCTGGTGATCTAGAGACTGATACCGCTTCTGTTGACCTCTGACCCATGATAGAAATTCCCAGGCTGGCCGTTCTGTGCGATCCTCAGCATAAACCTGTTTGCCTACCTGTGTATATTTAAAGGTCTACTTGGCAGCTTGATTATCAAAACAAAGTGTTACAGCTCTAACAGTATATAGATACACACTAGTCATTCATAAGGGGGAAAAAAAAACCTATACAGATAATAGGTATCTCATTCCAAGCGATCTCTCAACCAAAAAATAAGAGACTTAAAAATATAACATGGGGTCAGCTTTTGTGGCCTGGTGGTCAAAGCAACTAGATCCCACATGGCTGACCATGTGGTTCAGGCCTAGACCCTGCAGCTGGGAAGACACCTGGGCATGTGTGCATGCATATCCAAAATCCTGAAAGGAGGAAAAAATGCAGGAGAAGGGGTTATAACCTGATTATTCTCCATGGGGGGGTTTCTCCCCTCCCCCTCTCTGTCTCTCTCAGGTGTCTCTCAGCTGTCTCTTCTGCCAGCTCCTGGCAGAAGCGACATATATATATACATATATATATATATATGTATATATATATGTCGCTTCTGCCAGGAGCTGGCAGAAATACACACTTTCTTTCTAAGGGCAGATTTCTAGCATGTAGATGGAAATTTAGCTCTTCCACCAGATTTGGAAGGTAAAGGGCCAGATAGATTTTCACCCAGCACACACCTGCCTACAACCCAGGGCTGGCTGAGGCTGGGCATGGGTCATAGTGTTAAGACCCTCTGTTTCCTGCCTGAGGCTGGAAGAGGTGACACTCCCTGTGCACTAGGCTGAGCAGGATGGGTGGGACAATGAACCAGCCTGGCTGCCACCTTCCAAATCTGGTGGAAGAGCATAAGGGCCTTGTTTTTGTTTATGTCTTCCTGATTCTTTGTCCACATGGTAGAAGAATGTCTTAGGATGAGAGGTTGCTAAAAAAAAAAGTATGATAATCTGGAAAAATAAAAACTTTTTTAAATGTGCTTTCATTTAAAACAAACAAACAAAAATCTAGAAACTCAAATCGACCAACCAAATTAGGTACTTAAACAGATTGCCTTACTTTTATATGACTTCTTTTTTCTCTGCAAAGAAATCACCACGTATATGATTGTGTCAGCAAGCACAGGCCCCAGCATCTCGAATGCTCACAGAAATTAAACTGATTTCAAAAGCAATAGCAGGCAGGACCGCTCAAGGAAAAAAGTTTAAGGCCTTCTGCATTCATTAAAATGTATTTGGAGAGTGATAAATCTTCCATACATGTCAAATGGTCGTCTTTTCTGCTTTATTTTAAAAGCAGAATTTGAAGATCTGAGAGTCGAAAACAATATGGAAGTTTCCTACACAGGACTTTCTTGTTCTTTTTTTGCCCCCAATAAAGTGATGTTTATGACTTAACCATACTGAGTTAGAAAGAAAGGAGGTAGCTAGAAAGGCAAAAAGGTTAAAAAAATCTACAGCCTCTAGAACTAGAGCTCCACGGAGATTGCTCTTTAAAAAAAAGGCAAATTTTTATTGAATTTTTTTATTCTGATAAGTTAGATATATAATTTGGTATTTATCATTTCAATCATTCTTAAGTGTACAAGTTTGTGATATAAATACTTTCATGACATTGTGAAACCATCACCACTATCTATATCCAGAACTTTCCATCATCCCCAACAAAAATTCTGTGCTTTTCGGGGCTGGCAGGTGGTGTGGTGGTAAGGTCACTGGACTCTCACCTGGCTGACCACGGTTGGAGTCCTGGACCTAGCAATTTTCTCTCTCTCTCTCTCTCCATCTCTGATCAAATTCAAGTAAATGATATATAGATGATAGATAGATAGATAGATAGATAGATAGATAGATAGATAGATAAATAGATAGATAGATGATAGATAGATAGGAAGTTAAATAAAAGAATTCTTTTTAAAAAAATTCTGTGCCCTTTACACCAACACACACACACCTGCCTATGATCCAGAACTGGCTGAGGCTGGGAATGGGTCACAGTGTCAAGACCTATCAGGCTCTCTGTTTCCCTCAGAAACTCCCCATTTCTTCTTGCCCTAGATCCTTGCAGCCTTTCATCTTCTTTCTTTCTCTTTGAATTGCCTACTCTAGATAGCTCATATAAGCTGGAATCATATACCATTTGTCTCGTGTCCGATTTATTTCATTAATGCTTTCAAGATCTAGCCACATGGTTACATGTATCAGAAATTTTCTTTTCTTCTTTAAAATTTGCCAGAGGGCATGTATGCTCACCAGAGAGACAGAATGGAAGAGGAAGAAAGCACCCCCAGTGGGGCATGATAACACTACAATCTCTTCTCCACTTTTCCATCCAGGCATACATGCACACCTGCCCAGCATGCTGTTCAAGCTGCTATGGCCAGGATTCGAACTGTGCAGTCAGCCAAGTAGGATCAAGCTCTCTTACTCACCAGGCCAAGGAGACAGGCCTCAAATTTCATGCTTAAAGGAGGCAAACTTTTACCTGTAAAGAATTCGAATTTGGATTTGTTTTCTTCTCACCTACAGCCCTTGTTCTCTGGAGTTTGTTAAATATCCATAAAGGAAAGCAGAGATCTTTTTGACCTTACCTGGTTGGATTACTTATAGTTTCTGAGTGTTTTGAGGCCTTTCTCTGTTGCCTAAGAAGCCCAAAGTGCTTCTGGGTTTTGCTTTTATTTTTCTTGGAGATCATCTGGTATTATGATTTGAAAAACTCCTGTCTTAAAACAGCATTTTTTCTTAATTTACTGAAGGTGCATGAGCTCACAAAAAATGGGGAGAGAAGGAGACAGAGAGAGAGAGAAAACCCCTCATGGGAAATGGTCATGCTGCAAACCCTTCTCCTCTAGCTCTCTTTCTTTCTTTCAGAATTTGGGCACATGTGCACACGTTCCTGGCATGTTTTTCAAGCCACTGGGTCTAGAACTCAAACCCTGTAGTCAGCCATGTGGGACCCAGTCTCTTTAACCACCATGCAACAGGCCAGCCCACAACAGGGCATTTTTCTGGCCTTTCTTGACTTGAATGTTTGTTATAATCTTCCTTCAGTTAGACTGGGGAGGAGTACAATGTACAGACAACGGAACCTAACACACCCTATTCCTACCTTTTAGGTCACCTGTTGGTTCAGTGTTTCTCATCGCCCCCTTGGACCCACTGCCATCTTTTTACAAATATTTTGTTAAAGCTCCTTTAGTATACTAAAACAAGATGCACAGACTTTATAACCTATATACGCTCATTAATTTTTTTGTCACGATACTTCTGTAAGCCTACTATAAATTAGAAATAAAAAGAAAATGGCTTGTAATAAAATACTATGTATTCCAATATCTAAGTGCTCGGGAATAAGTACTTTGCAAGATATAATGCAGTAGTCAGAAGCTAGCATTTAGATGAAGAATCGCCTTTGATTTCAACAACTAGAGACACAAACCAAGATGAATGTGCTGAATAGACAAGTAAGCCCCTTGAGCAATGTTGCAATTTTCTAACAGTTATGCAAATTTGCAAAACAATGAATAGCTTT